CCTCCTTGCCAAAAGCCAAACAAAGGCCCCTAATGCTGTGTCATAGAGAACATTGTGTGGTAAAATGACTTCCCCACACAAGTTTAAGAGGGGTTGACCTTGCTCAGATGAGGGAAATACACAGAAACCATCATTAAAGAATGAGTTTTGTGCAAAGAAACTTGTTAAACTCTTGAATGTGCTCTCAAGCTGCCAGGAAGTAACCACTGGTTAGTCCGAGGATACTTACCATGTTTGTAATTGCCCACTCGCCAAAGGTGAGGGCTGTGGGAACACGCAGTGAGACCCAAGACTCATGGGAAGCATGGCAGAGTCAAAGTGAAGGGAGGGACCACAGGAAGGTATTGGGATACAGAGGGCCAGGAGACAAAAATTAGGCTTTTTTAAAGAGTTTCAGAAGGGGCACAAAGTGGAAGTGGTTCAGGTGTATCAATGCAGAGGTTTAGGTCCACGGGTGAACAGTAGGAACTAACTACTTACTTCTCCATCCTTGGAAACAGCTTTAATTGAGCCAAAACAAATACTATCCTCTCAGATGAAAACAGCGTAAACAATCTGATGATTCATCCAACTAAATCAAAATATGTTGTGCGTAATTAAACTCCTTTCAATTTTGTTTTCTAATTTTACTTCTTTTCTATACCAAAACCTGTTTTGAGTGAAACATAAAGTTGGATATTCTGGTCCAACAGCATTGACATGGAGCACTTCAACATTTTCAAACCAAGACTTTGTTTCCACGTTCCTTTGTTTTTTACTGTTCGGGCATTTTACAGATCTAAATTTATATTTAAATTTAACATTTAATACTTAAATAGGATTTCAGTTCTACAGGATTATAATTTTTCCTCCCCCTGATAGAAGCCTATATTAAAAACTCTTACTTTGCACCATCTGTTAGTGGGGAATAAACAACCCTTCTGGAGATGGCTTTTGCTATTCTGGTACTGTCTTGTGGCCTGCTATATCACCACAAGGTCTTAAAAAAAAACAGAAATTTCTCTTGCTCTCCAAAAGCTTTTGTGTAATCTGCCTTCCACAGGTTTTCTGTTGCCAGGAAATTGAAGTGTTTGCAGAAATGGGAAATGCAGCAGTTGGCTGTAGCAGAAAAGGCTCCTGGTCAACCCATATTGCATTTGTCAGAGCAAAAGTTTCTGATTCATACAGGGTATATTGCAGTGGAGATGTCCTAGGTTAACCTCATACAGTACAGGCTGAGCACAGCACGATGGCTACACTGCTTGGCAGGATGAGGCACACCAAAGCATATTGGGTCACAGGGACATTAATATCACTCACTGCCTCTGCATTTGATGCGGTGCAGTCTTGCCTGTCCTGCACTACCATGCATGACACCGTGTTTCAGCCTGGCTCTCAAAGGCAGTTGGATTTGCAAGGCAGGTTGGAACAGCAACGAACTCAGCTCTTTTTAACCCTTCCTGGGATGGTCCCTCACCCTAGGTCCTCTGACATGCAATCTCACTGTGCCTGTCTTAGGCTGGGAGACTGGTAGGCACTGCCTATCCCTCTGCCTGTGTCACCTGAAAACCTTTCCTGCGAACCAGCAGCCCATTGGGCCTGAGAAATTAGGCTATACAGACCAGACATTGTTCAGGTGAGCTTCAGACTAATCCACAGCATCTCTGCAACTCACCTTGCTCTCCTCACCCCCAGCCTGTGTAGGGAAGGTCTCTGCACAGCAGGAGAACACTGGAGTGCTCTTACCTTCCTTCCTGATCCATTTTAAACCACACTTACAAAAAACACTTTCTGCCTTTTTTTTTTTTAATTTCCTTGCTATTTTATGTCTTAATCAAAGTGCTTGTGAATCCCCCACTGTGCTATCGCAGCATTTTAGGAGTTGGAAAAATTATAACAGTCTTTCCCTAGCTAACAAATAATGAAGGAACATCACTGATCTTTACTGCTAAAATGAAACCAAGAAAAACAACTGATGGGTATAAAATCTTGCATGTAATACACTTTCTTATCTTTAATGTAGGATTTGTATTTGAGTCGCAATTTGGTATACAACACATGCACGTGACTTACTTTCCAACTTTGTAATTGGGGTGCTTGAGCAAACTCCAGGTTTGCATTTGTTACCCTTGTGGGTTTTTTTTATTCTCTCATTTACTCTAATACACAAAATTACTGTTCTGCATATTATTGAATACCTTGCAACACTTTTGCTTTGCTAAAATCAATGGAACACTATCACATCAAGGTTTATTATGGCTACAGCACTACTTGGTGTAAAGGTGAACACCCAAGCTTGAATGAGTTCCATCTATAATCTGCAGGGAATTTATACGACAAGGGTACAACCCTTCAAAAGAGCATGCATTCTGAAATGGAGCATGTACCTAGTTTCAGTCTTTTCAGATAACCTTAGCAAGGCAAAATCCAGTTCCCCTGGAAGTCAGAAATTTTTACTGAAGTAGTGACACTGTAGTATGATGAAGGCTGTAATACTGCATTTAGTCCCCCCTCCTCAGAAAGATATTCTTCTAAAATGCGATTTATTGATCTGGTTTCAAGCATCTCAGCCAAAAATATGAACAGTAGAGGACTATTTCACAGCATTCCCAGCAGGACAAGCAAAGCTCTTGACAGGAGCTGTGTAGAAATCTCAAGGAAAAATAAATGTCAGAATCTGCAGATTTCTGCATCTTTGAGGATCTGGGGTTTCAGAGCACCTGATGCAGCATAGCTGTGCCTGAAAGCCCTGCTGAGGGGAATTAAAGCTTTGTTTTTTAAGTTACTGAGAACAGATGCAATAAGAGAGTTTCTGTACCAGGGAATTTCAGACCTCATATGTGATGAGCCACAATAGACAAACACACTAAATATGTAGGGAATTGGGCCAATATAAAATGATCACATTTAGTATGAGCCAATGTAAAATGATCATGTTTAGTATGAGTTGAAGTTGAAAGATAGTTTAATATCTCACTTGAAAACTGAGGGGAATAGCAAAGCTGAGTGCAATTTTTCTGTGTGACTACTGGGATTTCTAAAGCCTTAGTACATTATCTGTCTTCCTTCACACACTCCTGAACCTCCACACAAAGTTTGCATGACACCACCCAAACCCTTTTTCCCTTCACTGCCCACAGGTACAAGCAGCTGCTGGTTTGGAAGCAGTAACTTTGGCAAGGCTCTGCTGCGCTCAGCAAATGAGCTCTTCTTCTGAATGTTCAGAAAAATAATGGAAATGTCTTTGTTATGAGAGGAGAACAAGAGCTAACACAGTAGAAGAGAAAGTTTCTCTGTACCAGAGTTTCTCACAACAAATTCCCATTGATGCCCATTTCTGAACAACGGGTAGCAATGAGATGAGAAAGCAATTTGCAAACACTGGAGAAATCAAGTCCCAGCTCTTCATCTGATCAGAAGAGAAGTTTTTCAGGTCATTGTGGTCTTGCCTATTTCCATGTGGAAAAAACACAAGCTCCAGCTGCCTGAAGGGTTTGAAATTTGCTGTCAGTGGTATGATTGTTGCTTCTGGTTCTTGCCTTTGGTTGCATAAACTCAATATATTCATCTGAAGTGCTGAAGGCAATGGGATTAGCTGTAGTGCATTGATAGGCACATTATTGTAAGCTTAGAGCCTGTGTATAAATCCATGGTAACTGGATTTACATACACTTGTGAGTGAAATCTCAGGTTCTGCACTTCTCAGCAGGGCTTTGTTTTCAGCACTTTTGGGACCTAGCAGGGCTGGAGAAACATCTCAGCTTTCATTTTATTCCACAAAACCCTTCTTGTGACCATAAAAGTGAGGGCTGTATTCCTGCTGTCACCTATTCAACTGGGTTGCCTTGTGCTCAGAACATCAGGCTCCTGAAAAAAGAGCTGAGGGCACTCCCACTGAAGGGGCAGTGGACATGGTGGCCCTGTCCTACCCTGCTCCTTGCACCCTATTGGACTTGCTGGAGCCCTGATGGCAACATGGAGGGGTGTCCCAAAGTTCAGTGCATCATGTGCAAGCAGCACTGCAGCAGTCATCCTTGGCTGCACTGGGACCAGGATGGAGTGATCAGTGCACAGCCTGAGGCTTGACTCACCATATAGGCAGTGAGGAGGGGGAAGAAAAAGAGGAAGGGAAGAGTGGGAAGAGCTCCCATTCCACACATCACTTGAAGGTGTAACCAAATGCCCAAGTTTGCCTTCTGTACTTCCAGGGCTCAACTGGAAAATACTTCTTGGGGAAAAAAACCACTGGTTTGAGAAACAGGGATAGTGCAACCTGAAGAGTGACCTCCTCCACCTTTTCAGGTGGAAGAATCCTCCCCTGTATAGCTTCTTCCACATCATGCATTTAAGATGAGAAAACAAGACAGACTATTATTATCCATAAGAGTGTATTTTCATGTTGAAAGAAAACTAGATGTCCATGTTGTCCAGTTGTGCCTGGAGCAGCCAGAACCATCATACCATCCCCACGCCTAATGCCAGGCAGCGATTATGGAGCGGTGCTGAGACACAGCCTGCCAGAGATCACTGTTCATATCTGCTTAGTCGTCTAACCTATTCACTGGATTCCTGGTAGTACCACAAGGGTGCTGTTTACAGGAAAAACAACTCGATATACAGCTGAGAAAATGATGAGACTCAATTTTTTCCTGATTTACAGCTGTGATGTTGTTTCACCTCTTTGTAAACAAGGAGGTGAAAGAAGCTTAAGAATGTCTTGGCTCAACACATGAAAGGATAAGCACAGAAACCTCATGGTGAGGTGGAAGAGCGTAATGAGGGGCACCATGTGTCAGCCACTATAAACACTATGGAGCTGCACCACTACCACACAAGCCTAGCTGAAAAATACAAGCTCTACTACAAACAGGCTCTTAGCTCTCTTCTGAACTAATACCTGCAGACAGTTTCAAATTGAGGGGCTCAGGTACAGGGATAATTGCTTGGTTGCAGGGGGCTTGTCAACAGTCTCCCCACACCTTCCCTAATGTTTTTTTTTGTCCTCCGTCACCTGTCTGCAGGATGAAGAAGTCCAAAGAAAAAGAGCCATCATGCTACTCCTCTTGCTGAGGGATGCTCCTTGTCATGACCTGAGTCCAGAGAGGGTGGCACGTATCCTGGGGTGATAACTAGGATCATGGACAGTGATTTTGGCAGGAAATGTCACCCACACAGGCAAACAAGGGGTATGTAGAAGAGCTCATGAAACAAAAATCTATAGGGTAAACATGAACCTGTCCCTGAATGCTTATGCCTCTGTCTGAAACTTCCTTTTGTACTCCCCTTTCCCTGGGGAAAAAGAGATGCCTTTTATATTAAGATATACCTCTATCTTGACAATAATTCTATATTTTGACCTGGGATTCCTGAGTTGTGGTAGGCTTGGTACGGTGTGCAGAAGCTATTAATTCAAATCCTACAGATGCTGACTGAACAACTGAAGATTTTCTGTGACACACAGAAACTGGGGGAGCACGTGACAACAGTGACAGCACAGGAGCACAACAAGTTTGGGGACCTCTGCAAAAGACAAAGCAGAGACTACCACACTCAAGAAAAAGGATGCTCTTAGCAGTTCAGTTCATAATTTTTCCTCTTATTTCCCTGTGGCCACCACATGGTCCTGATTGTCACTGTGTATATATGAGTACTTTACAGTCTCCATGGCACAACTGGGAGGCAGGGAAGCCATTTGCCATAGTTTACTGATAGACAATAAAGGCTCAGTGAATCTCAAAGCTTTGACTAAGGTGGTGTGGTTTAAGCCCAGCCGGCATCTCAGCCACGCAGCCTCTCGCTCACTCATTCCCCCCCCTTTCCTCCTCCCTCTCCCAGAGGGATGAGAGGAGAATCAAAAGAATGTAACTCCCATGGGCTGAGATAAGAACATTCCAGTAACTAAGGTATAGCACAAACCACTGGTGCTACCACCAATAATAATAATGATAAGGGACATAACAAGGGAAGAGAATACAACTGCTCACCACCCGCTGACTGATCATACCCAGCCCGACTGAGCAGTGATCTATCCCTTCTGGGTAACTGCCCCCAGTTTATATACTGGGCATCGTGGGCTGTGGTATGGAATACCTCTTTGGTCATTTTGGGTCAGGTGTCCTGTCTCTGCTTCCTCCCGGCTTCCCCTCCTGCCTGGCAGAGCATGAGGCTCACAAAGTCCTTGATCAGAGTAAACTTTACTGAGCAGCAACTAAAAAAATCAGTGTTATCAGCGCTGTTCCCAGGCTGAAAGTCAAAACCACAGCGCTGCACCAGCTACTAAGGAGACAAATGACTGCTACTGCTGAACCCAGGACACTAAGGTCACTTGGGAAGACTGTGTTAGAGAAGAAATTAATCTACGTTCTGGCAGTCCCTTCCTGCACCTTAACCATGAGCCCATCATTCCTTAGTGGTTTGTCAGCATTTTATAAATTTCAAATACTCCCACTTTGCAATGTTTCATTCTAATGCTTTTTTAACGATGTCCTACTTTTCTTTTAGCTTGTCTAATTTTAGGGAGAAAGACAGAGAACTGATGCCAAGGAAACATATAAATCACTTTATATAATTTGTAACACTACTGAAAAATCTGTTTGGGATTTATGTCACTGCAAATGAAATATGCCATTTGCAAGCTGCGTTTTATAATTTATTAAGCAAGTTGAAAATGTTCTTTAAAACAAGATTTGTCAGCTTGTCATCTAGTGGAGCAGAAGAAATAGTTTGCGTATGGATCACAGAAATTGGATTTTCATGGTGCTCCATCCATTTCAAAGGGCTTTATTTTCTCTGATGGTTGACATAAGATGGTACTTCAGAAGCATTGCATGTGCTCCAGAGGACCATTTCTGCTTTTAATTCATTTGACTATCCATCCTGCATTTTCCTCAAGTTAGCTGAACACCATATATTCCAACATCTCAATCAGAAAGAACAGTTATATACACACAAGTTAAATGTTTAGGGCTGATGTGATGTCCATTTGAAAAGCTTTAAATGGAGCATTTGTAATATAACCTGCTTTGGACATCACTCGCTACAGAACAACCGCAATGGTGGAACCTGGTGGCTGGTGTGTGTGTGCCAGTCCCAGATCCAAATCCCAGTGAAGTGATGACAAGATTCCCCTGAGGTTCACTGAGATTTGAAAGAGGACCTGAAGGAACATGTCTAGCAACCTCTGCTTTATAAAGCTTTCTTACATGAACCAAAACATTGCAAAAGTGCCTAGAGCAGGGACTATCATAAGGGCTGTACCGGCATAAAACACTAGGGATATTTTGGGATAAAACACTAGGAAAACCTCCAGTGCATGACAGCTTGAATATACTACATTCAGTTTCTAATGTAACTAAGGGCCAGACAAGGAATGTGTATATAAAAATCTGTTTCACAGCTTGCAATACTGCAGGATCTGCTTGCACGCTGACTGGCTGGAAATGTTATCAAGCCAGCATCTTCTTGAGTGTTGATTTCATGCACTAAGAGAAAAAGAGAATGCAATTATAGCACCCTGTTATTTTCATTTAGGCTAGAGTGTTCATTTTGAAGAGAAGAAAGCAGTGGCCCCAACTGCCTCCAAGAGGTGAGAGCACCATCAACAAGCTCAATAAAACTCTTTGCAGGCTGGGAGGCTGAAGAATTGCCACAGCTGATGTGACAGCCTTTCTCTCGGAATGCTATGGAAAATTACATAGTGACATTCCTTTGCAGGTGGCAAATGTTTAATCATACTCATGTGTCAGGGTGACTGAGAGAAAAAAAACAAAAAGCCCTAAATGAGTATTTTTCTATGAACATTCAGTGTCAAATATGGTTCATTGCATTTTCCAGAATGGCCAAAGGCGTTTTTAGATTTCCTCTGAAAATAAGAAATCACAGTGAATGTGCTTCTTAGTTTCTTATTATAATTTCTCTTGTTCTTTTAAAGACAAGAAGTCCTGTGCCTTCACCAAATGGCTACTTCTGCCTGTGATATGCATGCTCAGCTCTTGGCTGCTTCATGTGCTCATAGGGGTGAGGAGCTCAGAACAGCAGAAGGTTGAATCCAGTGGAAGTTGCAGCCACTAAGGTTCTGCAGAGGAAAGCTCTGGTGAAAGCAGTGAGAGTTGGAGCATGGAATGGTGACAGAAATGGGATAATGCCAGCATGGAGACTGTGGAAAACCAAGATTTTGCAGTGGATCCTGGGCTGGTCTGTCATCTCTCCATTGGCTCTCTGGGTGAGAGAGGAGAAAGCTCAGGGGTGCAGGAGCCAAATGCAGTGGAACTCAGGAAGGCACAGCCCTCCCCTCATGTGCCTGCCCAGCTGTACCCTGCATCTGGGGTAGACTTTCTCTCAAGCACTGAAGCATGGGAATTTTTCTCTGAAATGTGGCAATGCCATGTGGGGAATCATACAAAACCTCTGGCCTCGATTTGTCCGCCTTTTCCTGCAGAAAATGCTGAGTAAAAACATGGATGGCAAAAAAAAATCCAAAGAAATCTCACCGGGAATTTGAAATGGTTGCCAGAGTGCAAAGGTGACAGAGTTATTATTGGTCAAGGGTTATTCATCCTTTTAAAGCAAATGCCTTTGTCTACAGTAAAATGAAGTAAAAAGAATTGACCTAAATTATAAATAGCGACATGAGACAGGATGTATTCTGTGAAAGCTTTGTCCTTCAAAGATACTCAAGAGGTGCTGTCCAGCATTGTACATAATGGAAACACATCCTTCTTAAAAAACTGCTAAGGTGGCATTTCAGACAGAGGAAAGACTGCAAATTATCAGTCTAAGAAAACAGCAAACAATTACAGCTTTGCAAGAGGCTTAAGGACAGGAAAGCAGTAAAGCAATAACTGCTGTTGCTGGGTTTGTACATTATTTTTTCCTCGTGGATGGAAAGAAAACCAGATTCCTCCAATTCCTCCTTACAGGAACTTCACCTCTGTTGCAGGTGTCATGAGTGTCAAGTTGAAGCCATGAGTTGGAATAATTGGAGCTCCTCTTTCAAAGGGATAGGTAAACAGCATCTCTGGCTTTTGTCAGACCAATCTAGAAACACTTTTGGTTGGAGCGTGTGAGGCTGCAAATGATGAAACTGCCGCTGACTGCGACCTTTCTTCAAGGCTGTTCATTCCTTTTGTGTGAAAAAAAGGAGCTTTGTAGAAAATACAGAAAACTCTTAGCCATCATTTTTCTCCTGGGAAGGAAAAGAAGTTTTCACAAACATTGCTTGCAGGACTGACATTTGTCATCTTTGTTTTGACCTTAATACAGAATTTGTTTGGGGAAAATCAGAAGTTACTTTTGTCCAGTGTTCACAGCTCCTCAGCAATGTCTCACCTCACCCCTCTCTTTTGGCCTATTTCTCCAAACAGAGCTCAAAACCAGCTATTCAACTGTGTAAAACTGAAACAAATATTAAAAGCAGGGCATCATAGTTCTTCATCTGAGATCACAGGAAGGAAAGAGACTGTGAGGACAAGGGCCCTGCTTCCAGCTGCTCTAAGCATTTGCACTCAGTGCCTCCAAAAAAGGCATTTATCTGGAAAAAAAATGATTCTCCAGATGACCTCTCATAAGGAGAGTGGGCACAAAGCCACCAAAGACAAAGAGGTGACATGGCTGCTGTGTGACCTGCACTTCCAAAGCATGGGCACATCCAGGCCTAGAGACCAATTATGGGCATGGGCTCAGTCCTCTGCATTGCATCCAGCAACAACAGTCTGTGCTATGGTTTAGTTAGATGAGCGCTGCACCCCAAATCTTTCTTTCTAACCTCTCAGAGCTTCCCCCATCATTGATCTACTTCTAAAGCTACTCACTAGTCCAAACATACCCATTCAACACTTATGACTTCATTTCATGCTGACAGTCCTGTACTAGCACGTTCACACAAGTTGCATCAGCTACCTGCAGCATGGAGGCTGGGAGATGCTCACGATACCAAACTTTCCCCAGGCCCTGGTGCCCCCTCAGGCTCTCCCATACCAGCTCCCAGTGAGGAACCCATCCCGCAGAAGAAAAGTAATTTTTATTTTCACAGTTCTACAGTTAGGTAGGAGGGGAGTCAGTGGGGCCAGGGAAGAACACAATAGGTGAGAAAGGAGATGTGGAAGCCAGTACTGCTGCTGAACTCTTCCTATCATGTATTTTAACATGGCTTTTGCTCCGGAAGCAATGCTGATTCTGAAGTGGTAGAGGGGATATGCTCTCTGTATTTCCCCTTTTTATCCATAGTCAGAGCACTGCTGTTGATAAAAACAGGTGACATGCCAGCTGAAGGCAGATGCCTCCACTACTTTAATTATACCATCTATCCTTTTAAAGACAGCAAGTATAAAAAGAAGGGATTTACTCCTGTGGGGGCTGGCTTGGCTGGGGCTTGACAATACAAAAAAAAAAAGCAAAAGATACTGATGTGATAAGCTATGGCCAGATCTCCTTCCTGCTAAGTTATGTCTTAGCAGTAACAGCATCAAGGAAGAAAGGAGCCTACGGGGATTTCAAGAGAATTCAACTTCACAACCCTTCTGAGAACATTAACACTTTCCATTCCCATCTGTTTATCTCATCCTCACCTCTTGAGGCCTTTCTCCATTTGCCAAATACCTCCATAAAATAATCCAAAGATATCACACATGCGCCCTGATTTTGCAGCACTTGCAGGAAAACTGATATGCTAACAAGAAAACGCAAGAAGTTATTTTTTTCTCAACAGTACAATTATTCTATTTCTGCACACCTTCATTTATAGGTTGTAAGTTCTTCAGTGCAAGAGGCTGGCTCATTAAGGACCTTTGGTTTGTGCTCTTTACTTTGACAGTAGTTAACAAATAATGGCATGCCTGAGTTATAGCTGCAATGGGAATCAACACTGAATTTCTAAACTCCAGGCCAATCACACAGATAATGCCATGCTGTCATTTCACACTGAACACGCTAATTGTATTTTATGCCGCTTTCAGTATAACTTTGCTAAATTTAAATGTACCTGCCATTTCGAGAGCAGCATTAGGAAAATGTGCTTCATAAAAAGAAAATAAGGAAATGCCATGACAGATATATTCATCATGTTAGCCTGGAACAGGCCCCTTCAAGTCTCGTATCTCAGAACAAGTGTTACACAGGACTGCCAGACTGTTCTCTCTCTACTCGTTTTTCATTCTTTGTAGCTATCAGTTATCTATTTGTAATGATGTGAATCATGAAACTTACTGACACTTGTACGTTCTTTTCCTGCTTGCTTTGCTTTATTCAACGTGTTCTAGAGATCACTAGGTGTGGCATCCTAGCAGAACTAGACTGGATGCTACCCATACCATCCAGCACCTAGCTTGACCAGCCAATCTCCCTTGACTTGATGAACAGTAAGTGGGAAGTGGCAGGAACCTTCTCTGAGGCCAGTTCAGAGCAAGAACCAAATTGCAGAAGCTCGCACTCATCTCTCCTCAGGCTCTAGCTGGCCCTCAACATAACATAACCTTCCTGATTGTCTCTTTAGTCAAAGGCAGCTCAGCCTTTTGCTTCAAAGGTGTCTAGGTTGCTTTAAAAATTTCCTATGCAGCACTGAGCTGGGGGCAATTAGGTGTAGGGGCATTTCAGCTTTTTAAATTAAAAGTTAAACTATGAAGCAGCCTGGACCTGCTCAGTATCAAAACAGGGTTAGGGCAGAACTACTGAACCTCTGCCTTCAATGTCTGATAGGAACCCACTGTGCTCCTCTCACCAGACACAGACGGGATCCCCTCACATTTTAGGAGAAAAATATTAGAAGGCACCCACTTATCTTTACAACAACTCACTCCTATTAAATCTGACATCAGATGCACACCACAAAGTCATATAGCAATCTGTGTGAAACACTAATGAGATGAAGGACCAGACCCGAACAGCATTACAGTTCACAAGAGCTTATACAGAACAGACATACCGAGGAGTGAAGGAAAAAAAAAAACCAACCCAAAAAACCAACCACCAAAAAACAAAATCCCAATCCCGAAACAAAGACCTTTCTTTTATTTATAAAAGGGTGACTAGAAGTTTGATGGCAAGGTTCACTCTATTACTTACTATATGAATGTAATGTACAAAGGAAAATAGTTTTGAGCTAAAATGATTCAGGCTGAAGATGCAGAAGAGTAAGGGAAACCCTCCCACTGAGTCATGAGGTTTGAGAGTGGACCCCCTTGCTTTCCAAACTCCTGAAGGAGCTTTTATGTGGCTAGGTCCAATCTTAGCCTCCGACTTGGACAGTGGTTAAAAATTCCCCT